ATATATTATTTTGAGCAGCCACCTTCCCACATCTTTACCAGATGTGGGACGTTGTGGGCAAGAGCACCCACATCTGCTCTTTTTATAATTTTTATTTTATTATTGAGAATGTGAGGACTGCGAAACTGAGGTTAAACTGGATAGACGGTGTACCCCAACGCAATTTGGGTCTTACTTCCGTCAGTACCTCAAAAACCAGGGCACATTGCATAACTATCCACCTTATGGTGTGTGACCAGGTGGTACATGTCTGTTTTGTAGCTGCGTTGTTTCTATTTTCTTTTTTGCTTTCATTTTCTATGTAATATTACAATAAATTTAGTACACATATATATATATATATATCCATATTTCGTGACTTATAACTCTTTTTAACTCAAATTTCATTTAAAAAAATTGTATTATAATTTTTCTAAACCAATTTTTACATTTAAATTTATATCTCATTTGTTTCCTTTTTATGAAATAATTTGTTTGTTTGTTGCTAAGCACAAAGCTATACAATGTGTTATCTGAACTGTGTTCACCACGGGTATTGAAACCCGATTTTTTGCGTTATAGACCTACAGACTTACCATTGAGCCACTGGGGAGGGGGGGCTTCTATAAAACAAGCTTTAATATTTGAATGATTGCTTAAGAGTATGACATTTATAAAACTCAATAACAGGAAAACTAGCAGATCACACTCGAAAGACCCCACAATGAATAGTACCCCCATTCTTCATTCCTCTTCAACAAAAACTAACAGCTTCCATTCGACACTCTGGGAAAAGAACACAGCACGAGGTTTACCACTAATGTTTAATCTCCAGCTATACTAATTACCAAGTATATTCACATACAATGATGAAAAATAGTTTAATAGTAGCTTACATAATTACTATTTGGCTGCTGTTTATATCCACTGATGCTTCTGTTTCACAATGAGGAACAGAAACGGTGAATCCATAGGAACCTATCACTAAAACAATAATAATGAATTATTTTTTCACAATCCGTTGCATAGTAGTTTGGTATTGTGACATAAAATATACATTAATTAGAATTTTTGAATTAAACTCAATGTGAAAAATTGCTAGTGATAAAAAAATAAATAGTCTTTTATAACAAAATAATTAAATTCATATGAAGCATTGATAACATTCTTATAAGTTATAGTAAGATCCACGAGGAATCCTATCCATTGCGAGTGGTAAATTACGTAAAATATTTCACGTTATAGGAAATGAAATTACGCTTTTCATGGCATGCAGTGTCGTTATGATTTAACCTAAGCAGAAAAGGGTTAATCTAAGTCCAAGTTAAACCATTATTAAGCTTTTAAAACACTCTACAGATTCGTAATTCTTATTAAACCTAACACTAACGTCTACTGATCACGTGAACAAGGTCTTCCGATGAGCAGGTAGAGGGTATGCATACTCCAAGTCGAAACGACAAAAAGTAGAAGAAATGTGCTTTATCGCTAATGAGTGATAAAATCTGGAAGACAAAAGGATATTAAACATGAAAGTCAAAATAAATTAAAAGGGCTATAATCATTATATATTATTATATTCATATATATATATAAAATATCAACACTTTAAAGAACTTGTAAATAAGTATTTCAACACCTTTGATTAATTGCAGTTTTTAAAATTTATAGAAAAGTATCCTATTCACTAGACTAGGCTGCTCAGACATTGTTCGTAAAATGTTCCAAAATCAGAACTAAAATATTAATAATTAATTATTTTAATAAATAAAATCATTAAAAAATTCACACGTTTAACCATTCCCGTGTGATAAGTTAATAACATCTGGTAGAGTGATGAACAGTACTGTTACGAATCTAAACATATATACTGTTTGTAATAAGTTACTGAAATATACTTAAAATAAAACATCAGTTCTACATCTCTTTAATAAACTTTCTACCATTAAAGGTGCTCTTTGGTGGCAGACTTCAATATTACTCTACAACATAAATTTTGTTCTGGAAAACCTCAGAGTAGCTTTGACTTTCCTATATTTTAAACTATTATAGTTATAAATCCAAAACTTCATAATATTATTTCGTTACTGAAATAAATTTTTATTTAATTTCCAAAAGTACCTCATTTTATTTGAACGTATATTAAGCTCCGAATAAAACTAATAACATTCGTTATTTTATTTCTAAATTATACAACTTTTTTCCCCATAGAAACATAAAACTTGTATGATTGAAACTTTTATTGTGTTGAAGAATACAGGAGTAGTAACATCTGTAAAAATTTATATTTACTTATATGTTTATTTATACTTGTAAGTGATATTGTTGTTGTTGTTGTTGGGGGGAGGGGACTAACCAGTACCGGATTAAAGCATAGACCTACAAGGAATTCCCGCCAGCCAACCAAGTAAAAACATTATGGTTCGTAAAATTAGCAGAATAGAGGCACGAGTGAGTTATTATTATTATTGCCAAACATTACCTGGACCTAAGGCCACACTTAACTTGAATCCAGCCCTGGGGCCTACTACGTACCTTTGCTGATTTAGTAAAGTTTTCAAACAATTTCAATCGATGATGAACAGTATAGTACCGAGGTTTAGGCGGTAATGGTGGGTGGAATTCAACAGTACAATACTGGCCATTGAAGTGTCGCTCCGTCTGATTGGTCCGTTTGTTAAATTCGGTAGCTTCCACACTCAGACATTCATCAAACGATCCAAATGACGTCAGTGCCCCTTGCAGAACTCCTCCACCAGGCTTACCAAACGCATCTAGCACTATGATTAAACAAAACAAAATTGCAATTATTAAAGACTTTCATAAAATTTAATTTCACATTATAATGAACAATCATATCATGCCAAGGGATGTATATAAAAAAAAGTGAGATCAAAAGACAGCGAATAAGCGAAAAAACTAGTTTCTTTTCCAATAAACCTCTGGGTCGAAAAGTCTGAATAAGAATTTTTATTTAATTTTGAGTAACGTCGCATATCACCTTTCATAAATTATAAATAATTATAAATCAACAAATTTTAGCTACCTTGCTCAGGTTTTTTACACTTTTATAGTTCTTCACCTATTTTCAGCCTTTCTGAACAGACACTGTTTTGAGGAAGAATCTTCATATTTAGAGTGAAAGCAAATTAATCACAGTTTATTTTATGTTACACGATGAAGCATAATTTTAGTGAAAATAATGGCAAAATGAAATTTTCGAATATACATGTAAATGATTCTCATAACTCTTCACTGTTATTTGTGTCGCCCCGGTGGGACAGCGGTAAGGGGTTCGATTCCCCTCTGTGTACACAGCAGAATGCCCGATGTGGCTTTGTTCTATAAAACAAACAAACACTGTTATTTAATTCATAAATTTTTGCTTCTTACATTTAATCGATTTCGTAGTTTCTTAGACATTCACGAGAACCTTAATTGAAATAGACATTACTAAAAAACTACACGAAACATGAATTTTAAGAGTTGTAGGTTTGGTTTGGATGAATTAACTAAAAAAATTAACAAACCTAAAAACAATCATAAAAATGTTCGATCTTTCTTAATATAGAAAAAATCTTAAACAAATAATCTATAATAACTAAAATTCCCTTAGAATGCACTGTGTATCATTTAAAAAGAAGATTGAATTTACGATAAAGCTAAGATTTGGAATTTGCTAACTTAAATTAAAATTCTACACAATTCTTGATAAATTCTAGGCATAAAATAAATATAGCCTAATATCAGCGTGTCTCTATCGTTCAGCGTTTATATTATTTAACATTCGAGCGCTTTTAATAGGACGTCCTGATTTTCTCAATGAAATAAATCTTCGACAATGTTGTTCGTTTCTTATCTCTACACACCCATAAAAATTATTAAGAGAGTCTTTAAACGCTTCGTAAACTTTAATTATACATTTGTGAAACTACCAGCTGGCCATTTTGATGGTGCAACTGTAGACGTGAAATTCATACAAATAAATATGCCATCCATTTGCTTAGCGGTTATTTCAGCTGAGGTTCTGGGTTCGATCTCTGCAATGGGTGCGGAGCAGATAGACCATTGTGCAGGTCTGCGCTTAAATGAAAAATAAACAACAAGGAAACAAATTAATAATATATTTCAAGTAGCACTCCTCTTTCCCATGGTTTCTAATATATCGAACAGAGTCTGGACTTCGAAATTGGTGAACCGAGCTCCAATACGTGCGCTTTAAGTAATTGGTGCGTTCTAAAAGTGACAGTCAATTCCTAGCATAGATTGCAGGTGGTAGGGTGTTGTTGACTGGCTGCCTTCTCTCTGGTCACTAGTAAAAAATTATGGAAGGAAGTAAATAGCTTTAGCAGATTTGCTTTAAACATTAGTAAACAAGGGTAAAAACAAAAGTGAGTTCAAAAATTATGGACGGAAGTAAATAGCTTTAGCAGATTTGCTTTAAACATTAGTAAACAAGGGTAAAAACAAAAGTGAGTTCAGATATTTCCTATAATTAAAATACTTCGTCCCTCTTGAAAATGCATTATGGCCAAAGAATAGAATTCTAATTATATATTATTCTTAAGTATAGTAAAATAATCTATACTCATTTGACTGTTGGCATTTTTTTTAGGATACTCTAAATTTATCCACCCTTAAGACTATGACAAGCATTCCTTATAAACTTAACATCGGGTTGATTTTTAGTTTTGAACTAAGTTGGTAGCTTGCTATGATCGACAGTTAATTTGAATAAGCAAATCATTGCTCATACATACATGATGAATAGAAAAAATTGAATCGAATTCTTCAATAATTTAGTTTACATTTCTATAAAAAAAAATTGTAGTTGTCTATCAGCTTTTCATTCGTTCAATTTTTAATTTGAAAATGATAAAACTAATCGGGAGAAATTAAACAATATTTTTTGTAATATCGCTGTGTAAGTTGTTGTTAAGATGCTCTGCCCACCACGGGTATCGAAACCCGTTTTTTAGCGATATAATATTGTTACGACAGATGAAGTCACGTGACGCTGGTAACACGTGATGAGTTTCTAGAAGGATCATAAAGGCCCGATTGTTTGCTAGACACCCTCTATTTTAGTATATAAGCCCAGCAAATGATTGCAGATAGAGAGATATAGAGACAGATAATTGAGTCAAGCGAGCGGTAGTGACCGTAAGTAAAGTGCGTGAATCGTTGTGAATTATAGCGTGTGTTTAAGTTGACTGTGGAAATTAAGTGTATTGCAAAGTTATATTGAGAAAGAATAAACTAGTTTTATTTAAGAAAGGACTTGTATCGCTGAAGTTCTTCGGAACGAATTTTTACAGGAAATTAACAAACGAACAGAGACGTAACAATATACATAATTACATTTTCATAAGGGCTATCTGCGCTAGCCATCTGTAATTTGGCAGTGTAAGATTAGAGGGAAGGCAGCTAGTCATCACCACCTACCGCCAACTCTTGGGCTACTCTTTTACCGACGAATAGTGGAATTGACCGTCACATTATAACACCCCCACGGCTGAAAGGGTGAGCATGTTTGGGGTGACTGGGATTCGAACCCGCAACTCGCCAATTGAGAGTCGAGTGCCCTAACCACCTGGCCATGCCGGGCCTTTTTCATAATATGTCGTCTTTGTTTCTTCAATGTATGCATATTCTTCGTGTCTACTATGGCTTTGGACATAAGTTTACTTAGAATTAACCCTTACAATGAAGTTCTAGCCGTTAATCACAAAGTTACAAATTTTATTTGAAAACTGATTTAAAATTTTTGAGCACTTACAAAATGTGTTCAGTTTGAAAAATGAAAATTATTTAGCCGAGTGCTGAAAAAAGCTATCTGCTAATTTTGAACTACCAGAGGGAAGACAGCCGATCAGTAGCACCTTATCACCCATAATCCAAGCTAAAGGATTGACTGTCATTCTTGTAACCACTCAGAGCTTAGACTGCGAGAACTGTTTTGTGGATTCAGAATGATTTGAATCCAGCTCACCAGCTCAGAAATCCAGAACTCTACCACAGGGCCAACCAAAACAAATAAGACAACTTTTCAAATCAATTAATAGTGATCGATCCGTATAGTTAAACAGAAACACAATTCATATGGTTATGCTAAAAATTAAAGCGTTGATCCTAACCCATTTGATAAGTATACTACCACATAAATACTTATAAGAAATAATCAAGTTATGAAATAAGAAAAATTCTGATTTTACATATTTTACAGTTCAAAAGTTTCAAAACATGAAAAGTAACCAACTCAGTCGTTAATTATACGTACATATAAAGTTATTAAAACCAAAAATATTTTCTAATAAAATAAGCTAATTTCTGGGTTAAATAAACAAACTTTGAATAATATTCTACCTAAATCTAATGCTGGTTATAAATTTGTGTCTGGCCCCCAATGGTTCAGCAGTAAATCTAATGGCTTATAACACTAAAAATCGGGGCTCGATCCCCGTGGTAGACAGATCACAGATAGCCAATTGTGTAGCTTTGTGCTTAGTAACAAACAAACCTGATGTCTGAAATTTTGGACAATAGCACAAATAAAAAACATCACGACTCTTTACTTCCCAGCCCCCCAGTGGCACAGCGGTATATCTGCGGACTTACAACGCAAGAAACCGGGTTTCGATACCCGTGGTGGTCAGAGCACTGATAACCCATTGTGTAGCTTTGTGCTTAATTCCAAACTTTACTTCCTTTACAGTTGCAGGTTTTTTTGCTATTTGTGACAAAAGCTTGGCTATATCTATGCTTATAATAATAATACCAAATCAATTTATATTTTGTGTTAATGTTTAGAGTATTTCATTATACCCCTCTTTGCATAAATTACAATCACTAGAGTTTAACTATTTAACTGACAATACATTTAAAGTTTGTTTTGAATATCGCGCAATAAAATAAAATAAAGTTTAAAAAATAAAGGAATTGTTCGCTGTGCAAGTGTTTATGATTTACTGGCGTTGACATTTTATTTTTCTGCTATAAATTAGTTAGACTTTTTCAAGGCAATCAGCTTCGAAGTTATTTGAACACTATGGTCCAAGGTAAGAAAGCTATCCTTGTACCGAAAGCATGGCCTTGTTTAACACAGAGACCTGGAAATCGATTACTTATCTCTACAACTGAAAGCGTGAAATATAAATGAGCTATTGTTTATTTAATTTCTCGTTTCAACTTTGCCACAAACTATTCTGACATTTACTTTAATATATATATACATAATTCATAGGAGACCTGACACTAAAAATAAAACTTGTTTAGTAGAAATAATGATTCGTTTGTTTTCAGAATTTTCATACAAACCTTCACAAAGGGCTATTTGCCCCTAGCTGTTCCTAATTTGGAGCTGATAGACAAATGAAAAGGCAGCTAATCCACAGTACTGGTCGGCGAACATTGAATTTTCGATTTCATAGACAAGCCAGAATCATGACTACAATTATAGGGAAATAAATGTAGGGGGACAACAATAATATAACGACCTTTACTCTTCAGATAATTTGTTTGTTTGTAATTAAGCACAAAGCTACACAATGAGCTATCTGTGCTCCGCTCACCACGGGTATCGAAACCAGGATTCTAGCGTTGTGAGTCTGCAGACATACCGCTGTACCACTGGGGGCCTTTCAGATAATAATAGAAAAAATTTTTATTTCAACTAGAAATACAACAACCCTGACGAAACCCATGCCCTAAGGGTTATTGTACTACTAGCTCTGATGCAGCCGCACGGGTAAAACGTTATCTGAAATAAAAAGTTTTTATT